TATTAACCGAAAACTATTGTAATCTAGCACTTATTTTGTTCTTGAATTATATTTTTTTATTAAATATACTGTACTACTAACAAAATTATTTAGCAATCTCATTTCTTTCTTTTTACCGTCATTAATCGAGCTCATTTGTATCTTTTCAGAGTATAATTTAATTTTCAAGCTCAAAAGTCTCATTTATAGAAATAAAATATAAGTCAATTAAATACACCATGCTCAAATATCTCTTTTTTTCGAGCTTATTTATTATTTTTCCTTTTTAAAATATGATTCGTCATCGTCAACAGCAATAAATGTAAAATGAAAAATCGTGACAAGAAAGCGACGAATGTAAATATTCATTAAAAATTTATTTTTTAGATTTTTTAGATTTTGTGAACGATATATATTTAATTATGGCTGATAAATTAAAAGATTTAAAAATCAAAACAGGCGTAGCTAAACGGTAACATTTTCTAACGTTCTAATCAAATATCTTGTCTACTTGATGATGACATGTTGCTTCCAGATGTTGGAAAGAATATTTGTCGTATAAAAAAGAATGTGTAAATGAACAGACAAAAGTTGAAAAAATGAAAACAGATGGAAGAGATGAATATGATATTAAAAAACAGGTAATGGATTGAAAATAATATTCATAATTTACATGTTTAATTACATGTTTAGGAAGAAGTATTAAAAGAAACTGAAAGTATGATATCACATACAAAAAGTGGATTTATTAAATCATGGAAAGAATTTCAAGACATATACGTAAGTTTCGCAAAATATTCTTATATAGCCATTCCACATAACTCTGCTATCGGAAATATGAGTGCATTTACCGTTTTTAGAGAAACGTTATAACTTTTTGAGAAAAAGTCGTGGAGAATTGCACATTTTCATTAAAAAGCAGATTTGAAGTTCTCCGAAACTGAATTTAAGCAAACTCCTGAAAAGTTTTTGTTCGGACGATATATCAAGATAATTGAAAGATACTATTTTGAGAAAAATCAAGTTGAGGGATCTCTTTTTTCGTCTGATAGCGTTCGAACGAAAAATTTTCAGGGGTTTGCTTAAATTCAGTTTTGGAGAACTTCGAATCTTCTTTTTAATAAGAGATTGCGCAGTTCTCCACAACTTTTCCTCAAAAAGTTATAACGTTTTGAAGTTCTCTAAAAAAAAATTGTAACGCACTCAGTTTTTCGATAGTAGAGTTACATGGAATGGCCGATATAAATGATAAGTTTGTTTGATCAAAGTTATTCATTATTGTTTCTCTAGACATCGGCAAAAAATGACGAAAATATTAAACAATCAAACGAATATCAAGAAGCTGAAAAAGTTTTTAACGAAATCACAAAAGCTCAACAAGATGATAAATAAATTTTTTTAGAAATCGAAACTTTTCTCTACTGACTGTAATCTTTTATCGTTTTTCATTATTTTTTATCGTGTTCATATCGTCGACACATATCCACATAATTTGTGTGTACTTGTGTATGACAGTTTTATTTCCACTGAATGTGCTTTTTATGTGATAAATAAAAAGATGACGATGAAAGAGCAAAAATTGTGCTGTGCTTGTTTACATAGCCAGATATTTGCTGTTTCTTTACTGTAAACATCAGACGACATTCCGATTACAAAGAGTAACAATGATTGTCCATGAGATGTTATGACAGACTCTAGTCGATATCATTTATTTTATTTCACAAGCAAATACTTATCTAATGATCATATGTAGAAAGTTCTGCTTTTTTGTTTGTTTTCATTAAATTCTTTTGATCTAATAAGGATACAAGAGAAATGCGATAAGTTCTGGAAAGAATAGTTGAAAATATAAAAATAAAACATATAACTAAAGATCAAGTTGTACCGTTCATTGACTTGAGTCTAAAATGATTGATAACGTGAACGCTCGGTATAAGATAAAATTATCCTCGAGAAATAAATACTGGATCATTTTCACGAAGATTACGCTCCATACGTGATATGACCAAAATATTTTAATAAAGTTTGTAACATGGGTTCAATTTATTAAATTGAGATATACGATAGCAAGTGATACGATAAAGATTTGAGCAAAGTTACCAACTTAGTAGTTCGTTTTATCGGCACTGATTTGGCACTTGCTGGGGATCAATGCCAGCCAATGCCAATGATTGATGGCCTGCTACGTGCACTGGCAGTGCTATACTAGAATTTTTTTAGGGTAGAAATTCCAGAAAAATTGAATAGAAAAAGTCTAAAAACGTAATAAAGTTTTTACATCATGTAATACAGGGCGGACCTGTACGGAAGTACTCACGCATTATACACATTATTAAATATAACTTTGACCTTACAATTTTTAAGCTTGTATCAATAGGACACTTTTTTTCTAGATTCTATCATTAAAATTAAGCACCATACCATTAAAAAGTTAACACTAAACTATCATAGAAAAAAAACTAAAAATATTTCACGAATCACAATATATCAAAAACAATAGATGACTTAGTCAATAATTTAAATAAAATAAAAAATAATCAAAAAGGTACTGAAAATTTATGGAATGTATCAGTTCAATATTTGGTGGGATGACGCCGTTAGATGATAATGATAAAAAATTGGCATTGGGGAAATGTTATATTAAATCAAAATAAAAAATCGAGTCGACTAATATGTATCTCTATCCTATACGAGTATCTTTTTGGCGAAAACCTTGGTGATTTTTCAATGTGAAAATTTGAAAAAACTTAAAATACTCGTATAGGATAGAGATACATATTAGTCGACTCGATTTTTGATTTTGATTCCGAATATGATATTTTTATTACATAGAAGTTGAGTTCTGTTGGAGAAAATTGAGAAATACGAGCAGAATTCCGACTTTTTTCCTATAATTTAGAAAAAATACATAGAAACCAAGATCACATAATATGGGGACATTGTAAAAATGTAAGTAAATATAAAAATTAATCAATATAAAATATTATAAATTTAAATCATAATTAAATTAATATATTGAGGGCAGTATCATGTGGGTGAATTTAGTCTAACTGATTGAACATAGCTTTTACTTTATAATTTTGTTTTCCTTGCTATCAAGAAAGCAAACAGGCTCGCTCTTATACTCATCATTTTGTAGGTTATCATCTCTAGTCTATATACCTTTTAACTTTTGTTTCGTTCCTACTCTATTAAAAGAATCACTTGTTTTAACGTTACAGAATTATTGACCAAGAGACAAAAAAAAGTTTTTGTTTCAAGAATAATAAGAGGTTCTAAACGAATTATTATCTTGTTGGATAATTTTTCATTTAATACATTCATGTAATTGACTTAAAACTGAAATGACCAGTTTTTGTAATACATCTAATCCAATTTTATTCCATTTCTTTAGCAGCAGATCTTAAAGTTCCTTTTTGTTATTTTGGCTAGTGTTCCTTCATTCAATTTCCCTCATCCAATAAATTTTGTGTGGAATTGAGATGTGATGAATACGGCGGCCAGGACAACTGAATCTTGTTTTCTTTCAACCAATCTTTAACCAGACTTGAAGTGTGTTTAGGATAAAAATAAATTTTTTTCTCGATTTTTTCTAATATATCCCGATAATAATATTTGTTCATCGTGCGATGCATAGAGAAAAGATTTTTAACATCTTTCTATATAGAGAAAATCATTACATTCCCGCCACTATATTTCATAGTGGGAACTACATTTTAGACCGAATCTTTCTGCCAGCGTTTTTCACACTATAACTTTACTGTGTAAAGCAAATAATTAAATCTGAACCTCATCGGGCCGGACTGCTGTGACTCAAAAAAATTGTTTCTGGAACAATAATTCTGTAACGTTAAAACAAGTGATTCTTTTAAGGCCCACCCCCCACTCAAAAGTCCATTTCTGCTTACGAGCATGCGATCTTAATGAAACTTTCAGGGATGACGTATCTAGGTATGATGACCTCACAGTAAAAATTTCAGCTCGAAATATTAAACCTATCAAGAGCTAGCTCACAATTAAGGTCCAAAAATGGGTCTTCGTCCGTCCCAGATTTCTCTGCCATTTTTAACGTTAGAGAGCTCGGGTTGGTTTTAAAATGTAGCTAAGATGTAGGGCTACAACTTAACAGAGACTGACTTTTTAATTTCTCTGTAGTTCATTTTTTATAGAACTTTTACGTCACGATATGGAATTACTGGGGTGTAGGATCTAAAACATTTTCTCTTCATCTGACGTCAATTCTGAAATCGAAGAATCGGGCTCTGTTAAGTTGTAGTGGCAGGTCTTAGCTATGATTTAAAACAATCCCGAGCTTTTTAGCTTTCAAAATGGCGGAGAAAGTTGGGACGCACGAAAACGTGAAACCAAAAAATCTCATTTTGAGAAAAACGCAAAATAACAAAAAAAATGTCGTCTTTTCCGGTAGAGGTTTTCAGGAAAGCCTGTGTGAAACACTTAAAACCTATCGTAAAATTAAGAAACTATAGTGTATTCGATAGCAGGCGTGATGCTCTATCAAATACGCTATTTTAAAAAAAATCGATAAATTTCACCAAAATAACCTTTTTCTGAGTGGGGGGTGGGCCTTAATAGAATAGGAACGAAACAAAAGTTAAAAGGTATATAGACTAGAGATGACAACCTACAAAATGATGAGTATAAGAGCTAGCCTGTTTGCTTTCTTGATGACAAGGAAAACAAAATTATAGAGTAGAGATGGACCAATAGTTTTGTTAGCCACTGTATACGACATCATTATCCGATAACAATTTTTAAATGTCATCATTTAACAGCGTCATCTCGCGAAATATTTAACCAAAAAAATAGTTCTATGAAATAAAACAAAGTGAAACAAATAACATATTCAAAAAAAGAATCTAGTTCTATTAAAGAAAAAATTACTATAACATATATTTCATCCCTATTACAAAAATTAGAAGTTAATAAATGCGACGATAAATCATAGACAAGATTAATTTTTTTGTTAAAAATTGAGTGAAAATATAGCGATTATCTAATTTTGCTTTGAATGAGGTGAAGAGCGGTGTAAAGTGTTTTTCTATACAGTGAACTGTACGCTCAATAATACAAAACAGAGGAACAGATCAAGCTATATTATGCGATAATTTGAGATGTGTCACATTTTTGAGAGCATAGCGTACTTCCTTAATATTTAACTATTATACCCGTCCCGTACTCAGGTTACAATAACGAATTAACACAGGCCTTATTTATCTACTGTCTGGAATTGTAAATGAATTTTATGCCACGAATTATTCATCAGACCTTTTATATTCCATATACCTTTGCAAGTGTCCGGTTGTGTATTTGTGTGAATATCCATAGCTCGGCACACAATTTCTAACGGTGCATTTTTCAATTCCAATTCTTTTAGATTTAAATCATAAGACCACAATGTCCATGCCCACGCTTGCATGTACGCTTGTTTCTGTTGTTCTAAATTAATCAAAAAAATCTCAAACTTTTACGTTTATAATAATATGTATACCTACCTAAATTTGTCACATTAAACCAATTTTGTCCATTATCCACACTTATTTGAACATTTTGTATTGCTCGTCCACCTCCACCAATGGCATATCCTTTGACAGTCAGTATCCCATTTGTTTTATCTGATTTTGTTGACAATATTTTAACGGAGTCTGAAGATGGCGGTGGTTGGCATATAGCCGATTGAACATTTCCTTCTTGTATAGACGGTTGCAAATCATAATCTGATTGTTGCGGTTTAAGAACTGTACTAGGAAGAACTTTATAATCAGCTTGCTGCCAATGACTTGATGCTTCTTTATCGGACAAGATAATTTTATTTAACCATTTCACACTTCGTGCACCAATCGTACCTAAAAATAGTGTTAAAAATGAAATGCACACTTGAACTTCGACGAGTCCAAGAGTCTCGAGCCTTTAGAAATGCAAACATAGTCCAAGTCTGATCTGGTAGTTTTTCGAAGTCTTTTGATCGTTGCTATATATTTTTCATTTTTGCTCTATGCTGTATAACATACCAACCTTGTTATGACAGAAAAGCCTGCTAAAAAAAACTTCTGTTACATTCTAACGATATCAGTTGAGATAGGCTATTTTTTTTGTAAAACTTGCTCTTTCACGTTTTGATCAAAAATCTCGAATGAGAAAAGTATAATCAACGAGTGCTGATGTAAGTGGAATGCACAAAAGTTTTCCAGCTAATTTACTAAGAGCTGGATAGATATTTGATTTCTCAGATATAAGATGTTATTTTAGAGGAAAAATCGAATTGCTGAGACTCGAAATAGAAAAAATTCATGCCGAACTCGGGCTCGCCCAAGCCTTACTACCTACCCGGGATAAGAACTCTCACTGGATAGCCATGATCAGTAGTGAGTGTTTCACCGTTCATTTTAAACACTAGTAATATTTCACTATTTTGATCTAAAACTTTTTCAATTGGTACCGATGCACCATAACATCGTTGACTCGCATCACAGTCTAAACCATAAAATTGAACGTGTTTAATTTTTCCATTTTCTAAACTCCTGTCATCTAATACACCAAATGATCTTAAAACATCATACAATTTAACACCAGTCCATGTTGCATTTCCAATCGCACCTATAGACCATGTTGTACCTTAGAAATAAATTAAGAGAAGTGTCATTCAATGTCTTTCACATAACAAACCGGATCTCAGTTACCCTGTACTGGTTTCAATTCACCCATTTGTGCTCGTCTATTTCCAGCACATTGTAATGCGGAGACAATGGTTGTTTGTGAATATTTCTCTTCGTTTTTCAACTCATCATAAGTCAATCGATATTTTTTACCCTCCGATGTTTGTACTTCAAGTGCATAATCCCTTATGTTAATAAATGGCACGTGCATATGATTTCGTACATAAAAGCGTTCGGTTGGTGTGATAAAATGTTCAATTAACATCAATGGTTGCGTTTCAGCATTATACGGTTTTTGACTACGAACAATAAAATTAATTTTTTCATTCACACGCTCCGGATCATATTGAAATAAATCAATAGTATCCATTTTTTGCTGTTCATTTTTCTCACGTTCACCTAAAAGTAAGCAAGACAGTGGCGAAACTAGTTTGCTTTTTGAGTTCAAAGTTCAACGAGCTAAACATACCTTCTTTTAAATTTCCAATCCTATATTCTTCTAATATTTCGTACACATGATCAATCTGATGTATGGTAAATATTTTCCAACATGATTCTAATGCTTTTCCGGCTGTTATTAATATTTGTTTTCCACCTGGATGATTTTCAACAAATGATGATACATCATATACACCATCTTTAAATGCTAACCAATAGCCTGCAAACGAGAGAAAGAAATGTAATAAATACAAATTAGTTTTACTATTTTGTTTACCAGATTCTTTCGTTGTATGTTTTGCTACATCTTCCATACTATATACAGGTAATTTTGGTTTCCTTTCACCAACATCACTTATAGTAAACGCCGTTTCAGCATGAACGACGACATTATGAAACAAATATTTAGAAAAGGCATAACCTGAAACAAAACCATTGGCTTTGAAAAATATTAGCTACTACGTCTTATATAGAGATTAATTGTGAACAATGCTGTTACCTGTTAGACCGACTGAAATAGTTAATGGTACAATATTCGATAATTTTATAGTCGAAAGATTTATACGTCTTTTTAAAAGTCTATTGGAAATGGTCACAAAGTGAAATAGCCTAGATTTCATCTACAAAAACAACAACATTTACTACTAATTTATTTTAGTGTTATTAGAAACAGTTTTGTAGCACAAGTTTACTATAACCGTAAAAAACAAACATTCACAAACTTTAAGACAATAAAAAAATGTCTTACAGATTTCTCTAGAACAGGCATCTATTTAGTCAATGCATTGGTTATCAGGCTTCAAGCAAACAAGATGTATGTACATATTGCGATAGAGTGATATCGCTCTTCCCTTATCTAGTTCTCTGTATTTTATATTAATGAAAAATGTACTTGTTCCAGCATATTTATACATATATATTTTTTATTAGAAAGATATATATCTCATTCTTATTACGATATATATATCGAACTATATTTGAAATATACGTACACCTGTATATACATCTTATTTGTCTGCAGTAGAATCCTGCGGTAACAAAGAAATTCCATTACCATACCGTTACCATTACCATAGTAATCTTAAAAAGAAAATTTTCATGCACTGATAGCCTGGGATGTTCTCTTCAGAATGAGAGTAAAGTGAGATCTTGATTTTCTGCGGTTCGGGTGTTGTGTCGAATTTCCTGAGTCTCAGGAGTAGCACCCGGTGACTATTGGTAACCTTAAAGACGGATGGACTACGGATAATCGACCATGCTAAGTCTCGTGGCAATATTTGTATTGTAAATTTTCATTTAGATAGAAGAAAGCAAATTCGTTTGCCGTACACTATTGTATTTTACTTTTAGCATATATAATATAGTCCAACGATATATAATCTTCAGCCTAGTCCATGATCCTACATATTCTTTATTTTGTGCCTTATGCACGTGTTTATGTTTTTTTTCTTTTCCTTCTGTGGGAATATGTTCTATTACCATGAGAATTCCATTACCATTTACCATTACCACGGTAATGGTAATGGTAATGGTAAAACATGCATGATGATGGTAATGGTAAAAGAAAAAGAAGATTGTAGAAGTAATGTGGAAGATTTTAGGTTTAATGAGATGATTAAATTAAATTAAAGAAATTAAATTAAAAATTAAATTAAAGAATTAGATTAGCAGCACACAGATACGGAAAAGCGTTTATTACACGAAATAACCCTCTCTTTCGACAAAGAAAACAATATAGAAGAAATCCTATATGCAAATAGTTATTGGAACGTGGGTTTAGAGTTTTCCAGAAAACTCAGTAAAGAATTCATAGAAAAGACGTAGAAATGATTGAAAAGCATATAATGATGAGAGTAAGCAGCGGCGACAGACGATGTGAGCCGTGGAAACGCCGCCCACTGATGCTAAAAGTTCCCTCTCGCAGCAAAAAAATTATTTTTTCGTGCACACTGCCGACTTCGTTTCCACGAAAAAAGATGTTTGTCCCTATAGTTTCAAAGCCGTATCGTGTCTCCTCTGAGCATGCAGAATCTGCAACGAAAATAATCTTTTCCATTGTCCCACCGCACACGTACCAGCATCTTAGTAAAAGAATAATATTATTCTTGTTTACTCAAAGATTACTGCTAATCCTTTCGATTAAATGCTAAACAAACTTCATTAATTAACTAATTTATTGTTTACTCCATGTTATCAAATAAAATGTGAATGAAGTACTACGATGATAAAAATGGTGCCATTGGTTTAAAAGACGAACCAATCAAAATTCATAGATGGAGAAAACATATAATCGGAGTGGAGAAAATCGTTGTTTCCTTTTGGCTTCAAACAGGAGTCCAAGGAGCCAGGATCAATGCGAACTGACGTAGATGGTCTCTCCTTGGAGCTACTGTTTGGATCCAAAAGGAAACAACGGGGAAAGTGCTGGACATGATTTGCCGTAGCAACAAAGTTATTCAACTCAATGAAGTCCAGCTGAAAGTTGAAGCCGAGTATTGTTAATTTTTTTCATTTCTGGACTGCTTCCTCACTATTAACCGTTTTATTCGCGCCTATTAAGCAAAAATCATTTGAAAACTGATTATAGCCTTGAAAACGCGATGTCCTTTTTTAGGCTTTCTTTAAAAGCATTAGAAGCACCACCCAGGTAAACAAAAGACGGCTAAAAAGTGAGGTCCGTTTTTGGCCTTGGACGGGTGACCAAGGCCAAAAAAGTTGTGGGTAAAGTGCCACTTTTGGATGGGATGACGACTTCCGAACGCCACAGAAAAAGGCAGGTGAGGACGCCTGTCCGGACTAGTGTTGTGACTATACGCCTGTCGCGTTTTAATTATTTTAAACCAACATTATCGGATGCCATCAAGATGACCGTCCCGACGCTCATCTTAAACAACATGTCCGGTAGCGAAACACGATGCGCTGTCCGCGGGTATGACTGAGGTCGGTAAAGTGCCACTTTGCGCAGAGCAATGGCGTCCACTCATTATTGTGTTTTGGACCTCTTTGATCACCCATCGGGACGGTCATCTTGATAGTGTCCGATAATGTTACTAGTTTCACATTTTTCCAGTCACTGTTTTGTAGTCTACGATTGATTCCACTATGTTTTACTCGGACTTTTCTTCGAGAACAAAGTGCAGTCAAATTTTAACGCGTTCGTCGAGCAGATAATGCTTTTGTCATGTTATAATCTCTATCTGAAAAGGAAAAATCAGTATGAGTCAGATAGTAAATTCAAGAGGATGTTCACAGCAAATTCAGCTCTCTGTCCCTTAGCTAAATAGGTCTCATTTTCGCTGGTATAATAAAGTGCCTTATATAAAGACACCGGTTTTCGTCTTCATTTAAATCGAGAAAAAAAACATTGGTACCGTCAGTCATACACGTGGCGAGAGTATATATATATATATATATATCATAAGTACTATATATTATATATACGTTTATATCGCGTGGATAAGCACGTCGAGCAATCTATCCTTTTCTAACATTTTTCTTCATACGAAGAAACATGCTTCTAAGAAACGTATACTCTCACACCACGTGTATGATTGACGATAACAACGTTTTTTTCTCATTTTAAACGAGACGCAAAACAGTGCCTCTTATATAAGGCACTTTATTTCTTAAAGTCGACTACTTTTATACTCATACTTTTTGCAGTTTGTATCTGCTTTTTGAACATTTTTGAAGTAGAACTAAATCATTAAAATAATCAATTTACACAGTAAGTAACAGCACTTGCAGTGAGTGAGTGAATAGGGATATAGAAAATCCTTTCTATTTTACTGGCACCCAGCTGCAATTTTTCTGCACTCATTTTGAGTATCAAAATGGTTCGTCTTTCTCGTGAAATGCGCCAGGTATATGTGGCCTTCTCAGTATATAGACTCAGTTAATGTTTCCTGGGTAAAGATCTCAAAATAAATCTTCACAGAAGCGAGAAATGCATGAAAAGTTCATGTTATAACAGTTATGAGCATCCTCGGTATAATATCGCTTTGCTGTTAGTGACTCTCAGGATGTAGCGATGATTAGGCATGCATCAGTTTTTAACTGGTGTTGGGGCATCCGGGAGAATTGCTACAAATCAGTTATCACGATTCTCTCAGAGCTGTAAAACATTTAATTTTGTAGAAAAATATTTGCTCTACAAAATGTATTTGTTAAACGAATTTCCGAATCATTTCTAAGAAAACTTAGAGCATTCTAAAATGTACTAAATTACGAAAAAAACTGTCGAATAATTTTTTTTCCGTGATTTAATGTATTTTTGAATACTCCGAGTTTTCTTAGAAATGATTCGGAAATTCGTTTAACAAATACATTTTGTAGAGCAAACATTTTTCTACAAAATTAGATGTTTTACAGCGCTGAGAGAATCGTGATAACTGATTTATAGCAATTCTCCCGGATGCCCCAACACCAGTTAACAACTGGTGCTTGCCTAGCGATGATCAGTTCGGTTCTGTTTGACGCACGGAAGTTTGGGGCTCAGCCATTCCGCCTCATTCGCAGAATATTAGATTCTAATAACGAACTGATCCTAGCGATAATATATACGGATATACATTCTTTGAAAGTCCGAGCGTGAACGTTTTCTTCACATATGGCAAATGTTACTTGACGGTAAAACTCACAGACGAAATGTAAAACATTTAACCGCCCTCACTTTTATTCTGAGATCAAATGTCACTTATATGGCAAACCATAATTGAAATACATGAGAAAAATTTATTAATATGGTTCTTATAACAAGTAGAAAGGATTTAAATAAAGAGAGGACGTCTTAATAAAACTACTGTGCATAAGTTTTGATTTCAACTTCAAAGTGAGTCTGAGGTGAATGACTGACCCTGATTGCATCATTTTCCCGGAGAAAAAAACGGGTAAAATATGGTGAAATCAGCTTCTCGGCTATCTCAAGAAATTTTCTTTTTGAGATCCGTTATATCAAAATCCGATGGTGTAACATTGTGACTAGAGAAAATAAGATCTATTTAGCTAAGGGACAGAGAGCTGAATTTGCTGTGAAGATCCTCTTGAATTTACTATCGCGACTATTTACTATTTGATTGCACTATGCTCTCGAAGACAAAGTCCGAGTAAAACAGTGGAATCAATCGTAGACAACAAAACAGTGACTGGAAAAATGTGGAACTAGTAGCATTATCGGACACCATCAAGATGACCGTCCGGATGGGTGGTCCAAGAGGTCCAAAACACGACAATGACTGGACGCCATTCCTCTGCGCAAAGTGGCACTTTACAGACCTCAGTCATACCCACAGACAGGGCGTCGTGTTTTGCTACCGGACGTGTTGTTTAAGATGGGCGTCAGGACGGTCATCTTGATGGTGTCCGATAATGTTGATTTAAAATAATTAAAACGCGACAGGTGTATAGTCCCAACGCTAGTCCGAACAGGCGTCCTCACCCGTCTTTTTCTGCGGCGTCCGGACGTCGTCATTCCGTCCAAAAATGGCACTTTGCCCACACCTTTTTTTGGCGTTGGTCACCTCTATGTACATAGAGACACGCTCAAGAGAGTAACGAGGAGCCTTGTTTCAGCCAGACAGCTCAATTTCTTTCACATCACTGGAAGAGACGCAACAAAAATGCTTCCAAAGTTCCGCTATCGTCACCGGTCGTAGCTATTTGCCTCTAATTTGTATTCTTTTTGTTCTTCTTCGTGTGACTTTGTGTAACACTTTCTATTTTGTATTCCGCCCGCGTTTTTTTTGCGGGCGTTTACGAAAGAAGCACTATACATATTATGATTCGTTTTTCATATAGAGTCCAAATCTAATCTTTCTTTTTGGGTGCACAGTCTAGTTTTCGACAAACAAATAAAAAACTAGTGTGATGTGTGGAAATTACGGTACCTCCCACTACGTTAACTCTAAACATGAAGAGACAACTCTTTCTTACTTTCTTTTCTTCCTGATATATTTTTATTTCCGTCCCCTGCTCTATATGATCGTTTCCAGAGACGACTCAAGAAATGGAAGTCTAAAATTACGTAGTGGTACTGTTCTTCGGTCGGAATAGGAAAACGACATCTCTAGCTTTAATTGCTGTATCAACAATGAACTTTTAATATTCGTTGTTTGTTTTCATCATTACATGTAATTCGTTCAAATGTTATGATTGTTGATTGTTATTGATTTAATTTGATAGCATGATGCTACCAAATTGAATTAACGATTAAACGAAACGATTAGATGCTACTAGCATCTAAACATTTCGTTTAATCGTTCTCTTACTTTTCCTTCACTTAATGTTTGATTTTGCTGTAATGCGTCAACCGTTGGTAAAACTTGATGTATTAATTCATCTAATACGATCGTTGTGCCTGTAGTTGTTAATTATTGTGTAAGTTATCATTTGTTACTCCTGTTATTGCTACCGAAACATCTTTTGTTGGTGATGTTAAGATCTTAACTGTAGATTGTGTATTTTCTTTCCCTACCAACATACTTTAATCCTGCTTCATTTTTGTATTCAAGAGAAATGGCTGTTAGAAATCCATTGACAGCAACGGTGGTAGATGTTCCTTATCTAAAAGCCGGAATTCAACAATTGAGTCTTCATCGTCCATTAGACGGTGAACTAGTTAGTGGCGCTATAGATGAAATTATGTCAGGTCGATCACCTGAAGTATTAGTTTCGGCATTTTTGGCTTTATTATCACCTGATAAATTATCACCTGATATCATTATAGCAGGAGTAAAAAATATGAGGGCACATGCCT